ATGGGGTCTGCAGTCTGGGGATAAGTTTGGGACGCTCTCAGGTTAAGCTCTGAAAATGGTTCTGGGGGTGCAGATGGGTGTCAGACCCATGGCTGTGAATTCTCTGCTTTTCCTGCAGGGATGATCTTTCCAAACTGACCCTAAACTAATTTTTAAAATAAGCCAACCATGAGCTCATCTTCTACATTTTGCACCTGCTCTGCCCACACTTAACCCACACACAATTTTCAGAGTGTCCTCTTCCAAAAACATCCACAATGCTCTAAAGTTTCCAGAGTGACCTTGTCAGGGAGGAAATTGCTTGAATAACTGACCAGCCGTAGGTGACAGGGTCAAAATATCACGTGTGTTAGTTTGCTAGAGCTGTCACAATAAAGTACCACAAACCAAGTAGCCAAAGCAACAGAAATTTGTCTTTTAGTTCTGGCACTAAAAGTCCAAGATGAAGGTGTTGGCAGAGCTACACTCCCTCTGAGTATGGGAGAAATATCTGTTCCAGGTCCCTCTCTTGTTGTTCAGTCGCTAAGTACTGTCCAACTCTTTGTGACCCCATAGACCCTATAGAACTTCTTAACTTCTGATAGTTCCTTGTCTTGTGGCAGCCTGACCCCAACCTTACATGGCATTCGCCTTGTGTGCATGTCTATGTCCTCAGATCTGCCTTTTATATAAGGATGCTAGTCATATTGGACCAGGAGCCAACCCTATTCCCATAGGGCCTCATCTTCACTAAATATATCCACAGCAACCCTACTTCCAAATAAAGCCACATTCTCAGGTACTGGCGAGGGAGGAGGGTAGGACTTCAATAGGTGAATTTGGAGGGGCATGACACATAATTCAACACATAACATCATCTAACGGGTTTTTGAATTCAACATCAAGCTCAAGAGAAGGGCAGAATGGCTTGCCCAAAAGTGTCCCTCTTATTATAATTCCAAGTGATATACCAACTTATCATGTTGGTGGGGGGATAGGGAAGTTAGTGTGTTGACACCTGAAATCTGTTGCCTACAAGTAATGGTGAATATACAGTCACTGAGGGGGCTGTCTGCTGGGGGGAGAGAGGTACATTGGGGTTTCTGCAGAACCAAATTCCTACTCACCACTTTTTTAGGACAAAACCTATATAGGTATGTGGGAAAATTTAATGTTGAAGCAAAGAGTTACAAAGAGTGAAAAAGGATATCTTGAGAACATTCAAAACCCTTTCAGCCTCTTGACACTTCATCTCAAAGTGCTTCTAGTCCTAAAGCTCAGGCTAGATATGTTTGCCAAAGGAAGTTTATATGAAAATTGAGTTCCTTTCTTAAGACATGGTAGGGGAGAGCAGGGAGCAGCTTCTGTTTTCCTTGTCAATTTGGAGTAAGTGGAAGCCTTAGAGTTTGTTCTTGTCACTTTACTGCCCTTTTGTCTACGATTATGTCGAGGAGGTACGTTGTGAAGCTGTAACCATCCATGAAATTGAGCTCCAGATGGCATGAAGGGCCCAAGTATAGGTCTGGGCAGATTTGAGGTGGTACAGAACAGGGCTCAGGAGCACAGACGGTGGTGGCAGCTAGACTCAAGTTCACATTTGGTTCTGCCTCTTTCTCGGGTGACCTTGTGTAAGCTACATGCCCTCTCTGTGGTCAAGGTTCTCCTCTAAAGCTGTCCTTTATAGAGTTGTGCTCCTGTTCATGCTCAGTCACTTCAGACTCTTTGCAAGCCTATGAACTGTAGTCCGCCAGGCTCCTCTGTCCATGGAATTCTCCAATAAGAATATTGGAGTGGGTTGCCATTTCCTTCTCCAAGTGATCTTCCCAACCCAGGGATCGAACCCTGGTCTCCCACATTGCAGGCAGATTCTTGACCATCTGAGCCACCGGGGAAGCCCAGGGGGAGAGAGGTACATTGGGGTTTCTGCAGAACCAAATTCCTACTCACCACTTTTTTAGGACAAAACCTATATAGGTATGTGGGAAAATTTAATGTTGAAGCAAAGAGTTACAAAGAGTGAAAAAGGATATCTTGAGAACATTCAAAACCCTTTCAGCCTCTTGACACTTCATCTCAAAGTGCTTCTAGTCCTAAAGCTCAGGCTAGATATGTTTGCCAAAGGAAGTTTATATGAAAATTGAGTTCCTTTCTTAAGACATGGTAGGGGAGAGCAGGGAGCGGCTTCTGTTTTCCTTGTCAATTTGGAGTAAGTGGAAGCCTTAGAGTTTGTTCTTGTCACTTTACTGCCCTTTTGTCTACGATTATGTCGAGGAGGTACGTTGTGAAGCTGTAACCATCCATGAAATTGAGCTCCAGATGGCATGAAGGGCCCAAGTATAGGTCTGGGCAGATTTGAGGTGGTACAGAACAGGGCTCAGGAGCACAGACGGTGGTGGCAGCTAGACTCAAGTTCACATTTGGTTCTGCCTCTTTCTCGGGTGACCTTGTGTAAGCTACATGCCCTCTCTGTGGTCAAGGTTCTCCTCTAAAGCTGTCCTTTATAGAGTTGTGCTCCTGTTCATGCTCAGTCACTTCAGACTCTTTCTTAGAAAGCCTATGAACCATAGTCCGCCAGGCTCCTCTGTCCATGGAATTCTCCAGTAAGAATATTGGAGTGGGTTGCCATTTCCTTCTCCAAGTGATCTTCCCAACCCAGGGATCGAACCCTGGTCTCCCACATTGCAGGCAGATTCTTGACCATCTGAGCCACCGGGGAAGCCCGTATATAGAGCTGTAGTAGGTATTAAATGACAGTGGCGGTAGAGAGTCCCTAGAGCCGTAACTGCTCAATAAATGGCTTTTGTTATAATTATGCCAGAGAACTAAGGAGTCAATCTTGAAAAAATCAACCCAATCTTTTTCTCCCCTGTCTTGTGAATGTCCTGGTTGTTCTGGGCACTGAGAGACCAGGACTCCAGGAGCCCTTGTCTCATTGCCTGATTCACTTTTATAATGTCTTGAAGACTAAGAAGAGGGTTTTGGCCTTCTCCTTTCTTCTATGCCTATACCTGAGGACCTCCTGGGTAGACTTTCTTTCACCTAGCCCTTCATCACCTGGCATACACACAAGAGCCCCTTAGAGAAGGGAATTTCAGAGCCGTGACTGTTGCCTAGTGAAAAAGTTATGTTTGGAGGATTTACTCCCTTAGCCATGGAAAATATTCAGAGCCCAGTACACTGGCTGTTCCCTCAGTTCCTGTATTCTTGATGTTCTGGCATTTGGAGACTTGGTCCTGGAGAGACTGCCCCTCCTATCCATCAGGGGTGGCTAACTCCTAGAGCTGGCAAACAACTCTCTTGAGGAGTGTGCCTTTGATATCAATCATACTAACCAATTAGTCCAGAGCCAAATCCCACCTGTCTCTTTTATCCAACTCTCACATATCAAGCCTGGAGAAGAAATGGCCTAGAGAATTTTTGCCTAGAGAATCCCATGGACAGAAGAGCCAGGCGGGCTACAGTCCATGGGGTCACAAGAGTCGGATGCAACTTAGCAACTAAACCACCACCATCACCACCACATACCAAGTCTCTATTCCCCTGTCTAAATTAGTCGGAGTCAGGTACTGGACAATTGGAGACCACCCCTATAGCCCAGAGCTTGCCGAAATTACTAAAACTATCCTATCCTAAGGTTCCTCAGTGTACCTACCACGTCTCACCCAGTCTTTCCCTTGAAACCCTCATAAAGCCTTTGGGCCCTGTTTCCCCTCCCACCTTCAGTCTCCTGACCAATGCTGGTGCCTCCCCCTGTGGCTCTGCACATGGTGCGGTGCCTTCTGCCTCTAGGAATCTGGGGTGTAAACTCCTCCCTTTGTGACAGTTGTGCCTCTGTCTGCATGTCTTACCATACTGGACTAAAAAAATCCCGGGTGCATCTTAGAACACCCACAGGCCTGTTTCCTATTTCATGAGTCTGAGCAAACTCTGGGAGACAGTGCAGGACAGGGAAGCCTGGCATGCTGCAGTCCATGGGGTCGTAAAGAGTCGGAACATAACTGAGAGACTAAACAACAACAACAAAGAGTGTCATCGTATACCTGAGGCCTTCGGCCACACCAGATGGTTTATGCTAATGTGATCTCTGGTGGGGGCCTTGGATCACGTGGTATTAGTTTGACCTCTGGAAGGACCGGATACTTAGTAACAAAGGTCAGCTACACAGGCATGGGGTGTCTAGGTGACTAACCCCCAATAAAAACACCAAGACTTGGGTGAGCTCCCCAGGACTCCCCAATACTCCATATACGTTGTCACACATTGTTGCTGGGAGAATTGAGTACTTCTGTATAACTCTACCAGGAGAGGATAACTGGAAGCTTGCTCCTGGTCTCTCCTGGATTCTGTGCACCTTTGTTGATTTTAATCTGATTCCTTTCACTGTAATAAAACTATAACCATGAGTATAACAGCTTTTCTGAGTTCTGTGAGTTCTCCTAGTGAATCATAGAAGCTGAAGGTGGTCTTGGGGACCATAATTCACTCAAGAAACAGCAAAACAGTTCAACCATAACTTACTGCCATGGTAAGTGGCCACATGGGTAGAAAACAGAAATATGTTCATTGAGATGAGATCCAAGGGGATCTTCCCAGGATGGGGAAACTGCAGGGTGGTGGTCTAAAGACATTTCTAAGCATTTCAAGAGGCTTCTGAATTGTGATTTGGTGGCAAAAGTCACAGGGACAGGCAGGGCCAATCTATGGCCTTCCGATTGGAGGTAAGATCTTGGGTCTAACTCAATGTAACATTTCTCATCCTCTTATCACGTACTATTTCTTTTCTTTCTTACCCCAAGTTTTGAGAAAAAAGGAAAAACTCTGAGCCTGAGTCTTCTAAGAGAGAATGAAGCAAAACAAACATAAATACCGCAAAATCTCCAGAGTGTATAGTTTCCCTCCATAGGATAAATGCTGTTGGCTTCTCACCACAGGAGGGCTCACAGCCCTCAGCATCAGGCATCAGTGAGCCACAAGGGTCCCACATCCGCGCCCACACTGCCAGCTGGTGCTCCCCGACTCACCTGGCCCCACTGACATCAACGCCAACCATCAGCTGCCCGTTCAAGGAGAGGATCTCGTCCCGCAGGCGCACCTTCCCACTCTTCCCGGCCGGGCTGTTCTTCCTCAGCTCCGTCACCCAGATGCAGCCCACATCCAGCACAGGGCCCTGGTGGGTCTTCCTCTTCTTACCCCCTCTGCGCTTTTCCCCATAGTCCCCGAACACAGGGATGTTCCCAAAACTGAGGCCCACAGTCTCCGCGTCCCCCAGCTCCTTGGTGAGGTACACGGTGCAGATCTCCATCCCAGGGGGGCTGCGGTCGGGCTGCACAGAGCTCTCGTCCACAGCGAAGTTCAGCCTGATGTACTCCTGCAGTTTCTGGATGGCCGCCTGGCAGAGGCGCTGCTCCGGGCCATCCCCGCCCTCCCGCAGGCTGTTCTGCAGCCAGTGGTAGAGCAGGGGCAGGTGCAGCCCGGCATTGTCCTGGGTGATGGGCATGGTGCTCACTCCCAGGCGCCAGCATCATGAGAGGAGCTGCTCCTGAGGGCCGGGCCCCGCCGGGCCCCACGTCCCTCGGGAACGCGGGCTGTCGTCTGCTTGGCCTGCGCTCATGGTCAGGCTGGCAGACAAGCCTGAGGAACTCCTCCTCCAGTCCAGGCTGTTTGCTTTGGCAAGGGGAGGATGGTTCACAATCAGAGCAACAGGGGAACAATCGCTGGGCCCGGAGCGTCAATGAGGAAAGGAAGGAAGTGTCACGCCAGTGCCTGCTTGGTTCATTTCACAGTCGGGCTTGTGCGGAGGACCTGGAAATGAGGTGTTCCTCCAGCAGCGACAGGGTGACCTCCCCTGGACTCGTTCACACCTGGGAGGGGAAAAACAAAAAACCCCTGTTACAGCAGTGAGCCTTCTGACATAGAACACATGGCAGGAGAGCATTACAGAAGAAGGGTGCTTGCTTTCTGAGTCAGGAACCTAGTGCCCCTCCCCATCCCATTGCTGTGTTCCCCCCACCTTGTGTGAACATGCACACATACACTGATACAGAAATACACGCACACACTGTCATACAGAGATGCACAGATGCACACGGATACACAGATGCATGGTTGTGCACGTGCACACACACACTCATGTAGAGATGCACACACACAGACATACTCATACAGAGGCGCACACACACAAATACACAGAGGCACACAGATAGATGTACACACAGATGCACACATAGATGTATACACACACTGTCACACAGAGATGCACAGGCACGTAGAGATACACGAATGCACACAGAGGTACACACAGAAACAGACTCACACAGATGTACGCACAGTTGCACACACACAGACATACATAGATACGCAGATGCATGGATGCACACACACACACACACACACACACACACACACACACACCCTTCCCCCAGACAAGAACACTCTGAAATGCTGACCTTCCCCAGGACATTTCCCTGATCAGTAAGAAAATGAGATAACTTTTGCCAGGACAAGTCCCATCAAACTCACATCCACCCCAGAGGCTGTGTGACAAGACTCCCCGGAAGACTGCAGAGGGGTGCTAGACATATTGAAGAGCTCACATTCCCAGGAAGTTCAGATCTATGTCCATTTGCCTTGATGGGCCCAAGTGCACACACAGGAGGTCTCTCCATTCCAGAGCTCTGCTCGACAGTACGACCAAGAGGAAGAGCCGGGAGGGAGACGCGGCTGTCCCCCAAACCACTCTGAGTCCTAAGCTTAGCTGGGGTCCTGGCTTCATCATGTACATTCAGACAGAATCATGGCTCTTTACAGCCTCCAGCTTTTAGTCTCCTCTCTTCTTTTTCTTTGGCAAACTGTTGAAAGCAACCTATGTCAGGCCAACCCCAAAGCTGTCTCCTGCAGAGAGATGTTTCTCCAGGTTTCCGGATGAGCAGCCCTGACCACTCCTTGACTTGTCCTGGGCATGTGGCTCACTCAGTGACAGACTCCACAGGCTGCACGTGGCTACTGCAGGCTCCTGTGCGAGGCTGGCAGTCATATCCCCTTTCCCCTCACCTCCCCCTGCCCAAACATGCAGAGTGCCCAGCACATAATCCATTCCTCCCAGTGGAAGGTTAATTGAACTCCCTGGCCAATTCTCCTTCTCCTCCAAAGAGATTTTCACCTCCATCCTCTGTAAACACAGAAAAATGACCCCTTTCAGTCTCTTCTTAGAACTTCACTCTCAGCTAGAGAAAGTCAATATAAACCGTGCCATCTAAGATGGAAAACATTCTCAAGCCTTCCCAGGAAGTGATTTAACAAGGAATAATAACAAATGGGAGAGGTGTCAGAAGCCATGTCAAGAATAAATGACCTTATTCCTCAGGAACCGTAAAGAAACTTCTAGTAGAGTAGGCTGTGAGTTTCCAGAGAACTGGAGTGCCAGCTATTAACTGGTTCCTTATAAACCAAAAGCCTAGTAAATATCATCTACATAACCATGTGCCTATTAAAAAGAAAGGCAAGATCAAAGAAAAGATAATCCATATATGGACAAAAATCAATTTCTTTGGCCCAAATAAGTAACACCTCTCACTGAATAGTAACTCCACACAGACATATTAAAGTCTTATGAATAAATCAAAACATTTTCCATCAGGTTGAACAACTCTTAGGAGTCTCTGTTTCCTCATCTGTAAAGTGAGAAAGTTGAGTTAAATGATCTTTAAGGCTTTTCATACGCCACAGAGAGGTTCTCAAGTACAGTGACAGTGTCTGGTTCATCAATACACTCCCCACCCCAGCACAGTGTCTGTCACCTTGTAGACTCTCAATAATTTAAAATATTTTTTAAAGGATTCTTTAAAATTAAAATTTTGATGGTGATTCAAGGTGTTAGTCACAGTTTAGATGGTTCCATACATGTGAAAACAAGAGTTAAACATATTGGGTTAGATGTTCATTTGGAAAATAAGTGATTGAAGAGATGCAACAGAGAATTTTTCCCCTTGATGTCAGACTGTATTTATGCAACATGCATTTAGGGCTTCCCTTGTGGCTCAGATGGTAAAGAATCTATCTTCTCAGGAAGATTGCCTCGAGAAGAGAATGGCTATCCTCTCCAGTATTCTTGCCTGGGAAATCCCATTGACAGAGGAGCCTGGTGGGCTACAGTCTATGTGGTCGCAAAGCGTTGGATGTGACTGAGCAACTAATGCGTCCACTTCTTTTCCAACATGTATCTAACATATGAACATATACTGAGAACCAGACCTTGAACTTGGCACTGGAAATATATTGTCAAAAGGTAAATTCCCTTTCCTGTAGGCATTCATAGTCTAGTGGGAGATGTGTAAATAAATGAAAATTTGCCATGAAATTAAAAGACGCTTGCTCCTTGGAAGAAAAGCAAAACCTGTACAGCATATTCGGAGAAGGCAATGGCACCCCACTCCAGTACTCTTGCCTGGAAAATCCCATGGATGGAGGAGCCTGGTAGGCTGCAGTCCATGGGGTCGCTAAGAGTCAGACACGACTGAGCGACTTCACTTTCACTTTTCACTTTCGTGCATTGGAGAAGGAAATGGCAACCCACTCCAGTGTTCTTGCCTGGAGAATCCCAGGGACAGCGGAGTCTGGTGGGCTGCCGTCTATGGGATCGCACAGAGTCGGACACGACTCAAGCCACTTAGCAGCAGCAGCATACAGCCTATTAGAAAGCAGAGACATCACTTTGCTGACAAAGGTCTGTACAGTCAAAGCTATGGTTTTTCCAGTAGTCATGTATGGATGTGAGAGTTGAACCACAGAAAAGGCTGAGTGTTGAAGAACTGATGCTTTCGAACTGTGTTGCTGGAGAAGACTCTTGAGAGTCTCTTGGACTGCAAGGAGACCAAACCAGTCCATCCTAAAGGAAATCAACCCTGAATATTCATTAGAAGGACTGATGCTGAAGCTGAAATTCCAATACTTTGGCCACCTGATGTGAAGAGCTAACTCATTTGAAAGGACCTTGATGCTGGGAAAGATTGAAGGCAGGAAGAGAAGGGGTGACAGAGGATGAGATGGTTGGATTACATCACCAATTCAATGGACACGAGTTTGAGCAAACTATGGGGGATAGTAAAGGACAGGGAAACCTAAAGTGCTGCAGTCCATGGGGTCGCCAAAAGTTGGACACAACTTAGCAACTGAACAACAACATTGATCTTTAATACATTACATTTGAAAATTTTAACTTAGAGGAAAAAACCTTTTTTTTTTTTTGCTCTTTCTAACTCAAAAGTTGTTAATTAGTACATTGGCGGTAAATACAGTTGATTGGCTCGGATTGGATCATTTTTCCATCAGGAGTCCATCCATCAGTTATGGCCAAGGAGGTGCGGTCACAAGGTATCAACACGGCTGCTGGGAGTCCACCCTCTGGACAGTGGAGTTTTCAGAAAAGGAAAAATGATTTCAAATGTACAGACACCGTCAAGAGACTTAATCTTATTGAGGTTATTCACGGACTACATAACCTTTCAACTCTTTACCTAAAACTTGGAATTTACCAGTAATCTTTCCAGCTCCCTATTTGATCAACTCCTTTTGTGGCTTTTTCTACAGATAAAGGGCACAGAGGCATTCCCATCCACTGCAACGATCTAAGATGACTTGGGGCATATGCAAAGACACACGCTTTTACAACGCTACTGGGAGAAATGTGGTATGTTCACAATATTCCATGAAACAATCCAGTACTAAATAGCTCAGCGAACAGAATGCTGACACAGAGAAGACACAGAAGTCTGCCAATCATTACAAATATCAGCATCCCTCCATGACTGATATGTGTTAAGGTCTAAAAGTTCATCCTGAAGATCGACCCATTTTAAGAGGGAGTAGAATTTGTGGACTTGGAGAGCCCCTGCCACAGTGCAGTTCGCTTTTATCTACCATGCTTAATTCTCCAATTAGTTTCCCATCTCAAGCAAACAGCTGTGATAATTTAAATTAATTTTGAGTAGCTTGAAGCTGACAGCCTTAACATTCCAAATAAATGCTTCTGTCCCTGAGTTAATTTATTGATATGGTGTTAGAATCGACCACCATTCCTGGATCCCCTTTGAGCTGAGCCATGTATTCTCAGCAGGGTGACATCATTCACAAAATTTAGAGATTATAATGGTTAATGCCTCCTTCTGCTATGATCCTCAATCCCACCTGACACTTGTTCTGTAGCATTTAATTGTGTGTGTTAGAACTGAAATTAAATTAAAATTTTCCAGTGCGAGAGGAGGAGGCTAATAATGAAAAGAAAGAAAGAAAGAAAGAAAAACAACCCTGAACTGAATGAAACCAATCATCTGCCCAAAGTCACAGGCTCAGAGTCACATGAGACCCAAGGCTAAATCCTGAACCTAGGCGGGGATGTGAAGAGGTCTCCTGGCTTATTCAGATCTTGCCTCAAAATCTGATTCACACTGGGCTGTCCTGTACCAACACTCTCTTCCAACTGTCCTGGCTTCTAAACGTTCTCCTATTCTGACCTCTGCTAAGTTCAAATTCCTCCACCTCCATCTAGCCTTCCTTCCTACCAGACTAGGTTCCTCTTTTGACTTTTAGAAAATGCTCACATTTTAAAAGGAAACCAATGTGGATTAAATATTGACTACTGACTTATTCAACAGAGGTTCAGTGAGTGCCCATCATGTGCTGAGCCCAGAACAAAACAGACGACACTCCCACGGAGCCTCAAGCAGCTTGTGTTCTGAGGAAGGCGCATTGGTAAACAAGGAATAAAGTACGGTCACATGGTGATTAGCACGGTGAAGAGAATTGCAGTAGTGTCAGAGGGCCTGGAGGAACAGGTATGGGAGG